TGGGGAGAAAGGAAATGGTCAAATGGTTCTGTGGGATTCAGCCAATGCCATTACAAATAGGCAACCATGGTAGTGGATGAAATCCATGACACAATCCCAACCATTTATGGCACGTCAGGGATGGTTTGGAATCAGGTTTACTACCAGGTTTACCATATTTACAGCAACCCCCAAAACGATGGAAACGTAACATTCCAATCCCAAGACAACATGGAAGCTGTTCGATCGTTTGGGGGGTCACTATTGCCAAATAATACCAAATAGGGATTTAGGCAAGACGCATTGGGATAACAAATCACTGAAGCGACTGGATTCAAATCGTGAGAGTGTATTCATTTTAGGACTTCCTTAAAGATTCAAGATGTTCATAAATTGTCCAACACATGGATCAAGAAAAGGGGGCACCGTCAATCGTATGTTTATATATATATATATAAAACAAACAAACATATGATATAACTAACATACAAAGTGGGATCCCCAAACGATAGCTAAGTTTGAACTCCAATAACTATGGTTTATGCTACCTATAACTATAGTTACTGGGGTTTATAAACCAGCTTATAACTGCATGGCCCCATATTGTATAAGACAAGACCTGATGGCCACAATGAGATTCTGGGTGCCTGATTTTCCGACGATACCCAGTTTTTGACCCACCGAGTCTGAGTTTCCATCGTGTTAAAAACATGTTTGTTTCCAACCATCCAACTATTTATATCTATTTTTCATGTTTGGACACATTTTTAGCCATCCAACTATCTGCAGAACTATATGTAGATAGTGCATCTCTAGCATACAGCTGCCAAAATCCTTGGCCAACTTTGAGCTATGCGGCACAGCTGCCAAAATCCTTGGCCAACTTTGAGCTATGCGGCACCACTGTCCGAATGAGAATGGGTGAAACGCTGTTCCGACTTCCGATAGACCCTGATTGATATTGTGTGATGAATAGATAACCCAGATTTTTACCAGTCTGGAAATCATAGCCATGGAACATCACCATTTTTAACAGGTAAATTTTCGTAAAAAAAAGGAACGAAATGGGCCATCTATACAATAATTAGCAGCAAACTGCAGCAAATTCCCGGAAGGTACCACACTAGTACCAAGGTCTATAGATCATCCAATATTACCAGTTATATATAATATGTTATATTATATACATATATATATACTGTATATTTATATATTCGTGCCATATTCATTCTATGTCCTGAGACTGCTAAGAACCACTTCTATGTTTTAGGCAGCTGTTCATGTTCAGCCACTAAGCAAACTTTACTGGGAATTTGTCAAATTTTAAGGCCCATAGAACCAGAGATTCCGTTAATTTACCCAAAAAATGATTAGTCGTTGAAACAGATAAAGGTATAACTAATTTTGTCCCATACCCATATTAGGCTTAAACCTGCTTAATTCCAGTGTATTCCAATGCTTAAACATCCCGCCGGGGGGAAAACCGCGCCAGCGGTTTGAGCGTTTTGAAAAAAGGTCGTTTTCGCCATAGCGAAACTATTGATTCATTCCACAAAGTAGGCTTAAAGTTCCCCGGGAATTTGAAGTGCATTTTTGATGATGTCCTGTAAATTACAGGGAATTTGCTCTTGAAAACGCGCGTGATGTTTTCCTCTTCTCACATCGCCATGCGCTTCTTCAAAGAGCGACCAGTGACCTCCAAAAGGTTTTTTGATTTGGAGTTCATCCAAAGCCATTGCCACACCCTGATGTTTCGCATCAGTTTTGGGTTCACATGGCTGTTGACTCTGGTCGCAAGACTACATGGCATGGCCGATTTTATTAAACATAGCACTCTGATTTTATGAACAGCAAATCACAACGTGAAGCTTAGCGTCGACAGGTTACAAGGTTTTGTTCCTGTTTGACATTTGTATCAGCACCTGCGCGCATCCTACAATTATGATGCCAGCAAGGGGAAACCCAGACGTGACGTAGCATGTGCATGTGACGCAAGTTAACATGAACGTTTAACACACCCCACACCCCCAAACCCAAGACGTGACGTAGCATGTGTATGTGACGCAAGTTAACATGAACGTTTAACACACCCCACACCCCCCAACCCAAGACGTGACGTAGCATGTGCATGTGACGCAAGTTAACATGAACGTTTAACACACCCCACACCCCCCAACCCAAGACGTGACGTAGCATGTGCATGCGACGCAAGTTAACATGAACGTTTAACACACCCCACCCCCCCAACCCAAGACGTGACGTAGCATGTGCATGCGACGCAAGTTAACATGAACGTTAACACACCCCACAACCCCCCAACCCAAGACGTGACGTAGCATGTGCATGTGACGCAAGTTAACATGAACGTTTAACACACCCCACCACCCAACCCAAGACGCGACGTAGCATGTGCATGTGACGCAATTTATATAACATGAACCTTAAACACACACCACACCACTCCCCACCGAAGACGTGATGGAGCATGTGCATGTGACGCAAGTTAACATGAACGTTTTACATCCCACCCCCCCAACTGAAGACGTGATGTATGCGCATGTGACGCAAGTTAACATGAACGTTAACACACCCCACCCCACCCCCCAACCCAAGACGTGACGTAGCATGTGCATGTGACGCAAGTTAACACGAACGGTTAACACCCCCTACCCCCCCGACCCAGAAACATATGCGTGTTTTCAAAAACGTGCACGACTACTGGCACGGTTTTCCCCCCGCTGGCTTAAACGTGGTATCCTTACCCCCATTCCAATGGGGAGATCGCTGCTTAGTCCCTATGGCAATCACTTGGACACTGCCGGAGGACAAGACTGAGGGGAAAAAACCAAAGTCGGAAAAGATGTTGGCACCTTGGCGAAGCTGCAGAGTTTGATCGATGATATGGCACCGTTATACCGTTATAGATAGATGATACGTGACAAACCTATAGTCGGATGACCATATACCTATCATAGTATCACTACTATCTACAATGGTATGAGCGATGATAATGAACAACCAGCAGTATGCATTATAGATCGATGATAGTCCATGGGTGCACTCTTGCTTGTGATTAGCGTAGGGATGTGTAGGCTTCCCCTCCTTCTCCCAGGATCATGAACTGAGCATGGCTGAACGGTACCTGAAAATGTTGCGGAAAACTTACGAAGATCCCCCAATGAACTGAGGGGTAAACGGGTAAACTGACCTTGATTTTTTGCACATGTTTGGTGGTCTAGCTCATGTTCAAACAAAACCATACATGACATAGTAACCCCCGAACCGAGATAGTAAAACCATTTGCCACTACTTTGTTTGACGGTTTTGATGTTGCTATTTTTCTGAGGGTTGCTGTAATTTGCTTTTAAGTAGCAACAAATTGGGATTAAACCAACAAAAACAGGCAGTTTATTTATGGATCCGGGTAAATGATAGAAACCTCCCTGGCCGACCGTACCCTGTTGATGATACCCCCAACAAATTGTTCATGTTCATCATACCCTAACCTTCCATTTACCTCTGAGATAGGTAGTCAGGTTTCGGGTTTGGTTTATAATTTTGGGTTTGGTTGCCTAACAGATTTGCCAGAAGGGATATGAAAACAATGATGCTCCGCGGATATGAAATCGTATTTGATCAGTTGACCTCTTTTGGATATTGTATAGTACTGGAATATGATATGGATCGAGCCGTACACGGCTCGATGTGTAAGTCTTGCTTGGGTTTCCAATGTGTCCTAATCAGCAAACCACCAAGAACATGGATTAATGGTCAAACCGAAAATAAAGATAATGCAACATTACCAGCATTTGTCAACACTGTAACATTTGCATTATTTTGATGAGGAGGTTGGAAGAATCTTGGAACCTATTGTTACTATTGTTGTTATTATTATTACACATTATTAGTTTCATCATTATTATTTAATATGTCAACATACATTTACCGTGTTGCATCTGGTATTTCGATGTATTTCAAAGCCTTCCCTGGTCGTTTGTACGCGCAAAACAAAATTTTGGCGAAGTACATGTTAGATCAAAAAACAATAAATTACTTTACTTCGTGTGATCCCCACCATGACATTTATACATGTTCTTACTGGCAAATCTTCTGGCATTCTATTTGACATATCTTCTGGCATTATCTGGCATTCTATCTGGCACATCTTCTGGCATATGTTCTGGCATATCTTCTGGCATATCTTCTGGCATTCTATCTGGCATATCTTCTGGCTTATGTTCTGGCATATCTTCTGCATTCTATCTGACATATCTTCTGGCATTCTATCTGGCATATCTTCTCGCATTTATTCTGGCATATCTTCTGGCATTCTATCTGGCATATCTTCTGGCTGTTGTTCTGGCATATCTTCTGGCATTCTATCTGGCATATCTTCTGGCTTATGTTCTGGCATATCTTCTGGCATTCTATCTGACATATCTTCTGGCATTCTATCTGGCATATCTTCTGGCATTCTATCTGACATTTTATCTGGCATTCTATCTGGCATATCTTCTGGCATTCTATCTGACATATCTTCTGGCATTCTATCTGGCATTCTATCTGGCATATCTTCTGGCATATATTCTGACATATCTTCTGGCATTCTATCTGGCATTCTATCTGGCATATCTTCTGGCATATGTTCTGGCATATATTCTGACATATCTTCTGGCATTCTATCTGGCATTCTATCTGGCATATCTTCTGGCATATTATCTGGCAAATCTTCTGGGATTCTATCTGGCATATCTTGTGGCAGTCTATCTGACATTTTATCTGGCATTCTATTTGGCATACCTTCTCGCATTCTATCTGGCATATCTTCTGGCATTCTATCTGGTATATCTTCTGGCATTCTATCTGGCATATCTTCTGGCATTCTATTTGGCATATCTCATGGAATTTTATCTGGCATATCTTCTGGCATTCCATCTGACATTCTATCTGGCATATCTTCTGGCATTCTATCTGCCCGTTGAGGTCCAGCAGTGCACACTGAGCTGGGGAGGTCCCCGGGTGAGGTCCGGCGGTGCACACTGAGGTGGGCAGATCCCAGGTTGAGGTCCAGCGGTGCACAGCGGTGCACACTGAGCTGAGACGGTCCCTGGTTGAGGTCCAGCGGTGCACACTGAGCCGGGAAGGTCCCAGGTTGAGGTCCAGCGGTGCACACTGAGCTGGGAAGGTCCCAGGTTGAGGTCCAGCGGTGCACACTGAGCTGGGCAGGTCCCAGGTTGAGGTCCCAGTGCACACTCAGCTGGGAAGTTGGCAAAGAGCTTGGCGAAGAGTTGGCAAGGCGTAAGTGGAGGTGGAAGTTGATGCAGACATGGTCAAGGAGAAACTAGAGGAGGAGGAGGACGAGGAGGAGGAGGAGGACAGCTAGCCGAGGAGGAGGAGGAGGAGGAGAACAACTCTGATAAAATCTAACAACCCTCACCTGGCAGGTGGGGAACAACTTTTGTACCCACCAGGATGACAAACGAGTCTCAATTAGGCACCCCTTAAGGGGGGTAACCATTAGGCACCCCTTAATTTTTAAGGTTCCAAACTAACAGATAATGAGGTATTCATAGTAATATGTGCATTTTTCTTCGATTTCCCCACGTTTGCTTCCAGAAATGCGTGTCATTTCGTGTCATTGCCGTGTCGTGTCGGTCATAAGTGGTCACGAGTTTTTTCTGAGAAATCAAGAAGAACATGCGTGTCATTGCGTGTCGATGCCGTATCGTGTCGGTCGGTAGGGGGTGCACAATAAGCACCCCTTAGGCAAACGGGTGTCTAATAAGCACCCCTTAGAAACGTGTCGGGTGCTTTTTGAACAACCCCTGCGCGTGTCATTTCGTGTCGATTTTGACTGGAACATTTTACATCCGACGCGAAAAGAAACGCATGCATTTCTTCTCGCCAAAAATCAAGCCGGGTGCACCACAGATGCCACGCGGGTGGGATTGGAAGATTTTGGGTTGGAAGTCATCATTTTCTGGTGTGCCATCTCCATGAACGCTAAGGGGTGTCCATTATAGGCACCCCTTAAGAATCTCAATTCTTGAAATTCATTAGGCACCCCTTTGAACGTGCTGGCAGTGATCTATTTGAAGCTATTTTTCAGACTTGTTCAAGAAGTTCTCAGATTCAGTGGCCACCTAATGGCCGGGTGATTCTTTTCAGATGTTCTGCACTCCCAAGGAGGCAACAAAAATGGTGAGATTATTGGATCATCCAGTGCCTTTGGAACTGGAGATTGGTCATGACTGGGCTTTCTTTTTTGGAGTCAAAACATATCAAAACATCAACACTTTAGAGGGTACTTGGATGTACTTGGAGCCTTTTGGGGGATGTTGGGAAATGATAAACCTGTGGATTTTGAGATGCGCTCATTCTTTTTTGGGCGGAAAACGTATGAATTACCTTGACCCTCAATTGACCCATAAATATGGCAAATGTCAATGTACTATTTTTTTTGGTAGATACCTTTTTTTTGAAACTAGATGTTTTCCCCGAATGCGTAGCGAAGGGTTCTCGTGTTACTTTGGGGGTCTGGGGGTGGAGATGTGTTCGCTCGATGCCGCAATGCCGTCCACAACCATTCGTGCAAGCGACCGCAGTGAAGGCCTTGTGGCCATACCTATGGCGAGTGCTGGTCACTTTGGAGGTTTGAAACATCGTGTAACGTCCTTTCACGTGGCAGGTGTGGCACTTCGCGACATCCTCACGTGTTTGATAAAGCGTTGAAGGTCGTTTTGTGTGACAGGCGCAATGCATTTGCCAAGTTTCAGAAGATGAGTTGCACTTTTCGTGGCATGCGCAGGACTTTACACATCAAGTGGTGACAACGTGCAAATTGCGCGGCAGGCGCAGGACATCGTGAGAGTGTCTGTTTGCGTGACAGGCGCAGCAATTGGTCAAGATGCGACGTGTAGGCGCAGTATTTGGGATGGAGTGTAGAGTGTGAGGTGTAGAGTCTGGAGTGAACAGTGTAGAGTGTGGAGTGAAGAGCGCGCAGTGTAGAGTGTGGAGTGTAGAGTGTGCAGTGTGACTTGTGGAGTGTATATAGAGTGTGGAGAGTGGAGTGTGGAGTGTACAATGTGGAGTGGAGAGTGTTGCGTGTGATTGCAGAGTGTAGCATGTAGAGTGTAGAGTCTGGAGTTCCGAGTGTAGAGCGCGCAGTGTAGAGCGTAGAGCGTAGGTGAGCGTAGATTGTTGGGTGTGGAGTGTAACGTGTAGAGTGAGGAGTGTAGAGTGTGGACTTTGGAGTGCGGAGTGTAGAGTGTAGACCTTGAAGTGTAGAGCGTGGAGTGTAGAGTGTAGAGTGTGGAGAATGTGTGTGTGTGTATGGAGTGTGGAGTGTAGAGTGAGGAGTGTGGAGTGTAGAGTGTTAGTTTCGAGCGTGGAATGCAGAGTCTGAGTGTAGCGTGTGGTGTGTGGAGTGTAGGCTTTCAAGTGTGGAGTGTACTGTAACGTGTAGAGTGTGGAGTGTAGAGTGTGGAGTCTGGAGTCTGGAGTGTAACGTGTCAAGTGTAGAGTATGGAGTGTTAAGCTGAAAGGTGGCAGATGCAGAGAAAAGTGCGTGACGACAGCTGCTCTGAGACGATGTTCTTGTGACTTTCCAAGTTCCCTTTTCCTTACCTGTCCTTTACGTGATTTGCATGCGGGTTCGTTGGTTGTTCTTGTTTTGATCAAACACCTGGACAGCCCAATGATACGTGAACAATCGTGAACATCAGAAAAAAATAAGGGATTCCCTGAAACACACGAGTTCATACCATTCACCAGCTATATCCCCAATAAATTTGCAAGAGTAAATTGGTCATCAATTGGGGATGCCATGCGCCAGCCGTATGGAGCCTGTAGCCTGAGCTTCGTGGCAAAAAATGCAATTTTTCATGGGGAAAATGATGATTATATAATTATATAGTGGATGGAATGGGTTTTCAAACAAAAACAAAAGACTGACAAAACCAATTTCGATCGATTCCGACTTTCAACCGATGCCCATTTAATGGAACTCCGACGCTGGGATGATTGTTTGTTGCAAAATCGCACGAATGATGGGTTACTTTCAGGGATTCTTCTGATTAATTAAATTTGTTCCAATAGTCCAATAGCTGACTTGTGAAATCTTCAGTTTTGTCGTCAATAGGGGATGTTTGTGAATCAAGTCATCGTCATACCAGTCCAATGCCACAAGTATGTGATTGTTAGCCAGATCTTATGGTACAAAGGATCCAAACCGTTCCGACATCCCCGGGTTTACCCTTTCCAATAGCTATTTGCATTGGATATGTTTTACTAGGCATGTGCTTCTCGGAGAACTTCTCGGTGAAAAAACTTCCTATTTTTCATAAGTCCACGCTTCAATTCCACGCTGTTGTTGCCTAAATCTAGCAATTGTTGCAGTTCATTCCCCCACTTTTGTTGTTGACGTCCCCTATTTCATTTATATTTCATTTATATTTCATCATCATCATCATCATCGTCATCATCATCATCATCATCAGCATCAGCATCAGTATCGTTTTGTAATCTATACCATCCGTACATTATGTACAATCTATTTGTGTTAGTGATTATATATACAATGTGAGGCCCCCAAGATAGCTAAGCTGGTTTATAACTCCAATAACTATGGTTTATGGTACTTATAACTATAGTTACTGGAGCTTATAAACCAACTTATAACTGGGGGGCCTCACATTATATATATATACAGCTTGAAATCCACCAGTTTTTTTTCCCCGAGGGCGATGAGAAGGCCGCCCCCGAGCACGGAGAGCACGGAGACGGTGCCTTTGGCTCGCCCAAATCGCACGTGGAAATTCGGAAGTTCACCAAGGAATGGTGATGTAATTTCCTTGCAATATCCAACACCCCCAAACGAAACCATGGGTTTAGTAGGGAATTTCCACATGTCTATGGATCAATACTTATTAATACCATTTTTAGTGGGATGAACATCCATTTACCAGCTATTTTGATGTTCACCAGGGGTACCAGGGTTTTGACCCATCCCCACGTTGGAACTATAGGGTGGTGTTAAAAAAAAAGGGGATGGGATGTAGTTCAAACATCCTGGGCAGACCTTGGGTTGTTGATTCCATGATGGAATATCATACCCCCGTTGGCAAACAGGAACTCCTCTCACAAGGGGAACGTAACCCAAAAAGCTCTAATGTCAAGTTTAGGAATCTTGAAACAAATTACCATGGATCAAAGATTGGAACCCAATTTTCCATACCATGTTTTGTGACCACAACCATGGTTTTTCTTGATGTGGAACCCTCTGTAACGGATACTACAGTACCACTGTTTTTGGGTTTATTAGACCATATGGGTGTATCTAAAAGTGGGGGGATACCCTGATACCCTAAAATAACCATTGTCATAGGTAACAGTATATATATATACCATCAACTTTGGTGTTAGCCTATTTCAGACAAAACCATATATGCTCAAATCATTGTTTTCCATGTGGTTTAAAGTTCAAACAGCATGTTTTTTCCACTTTTCCACGATGTTTGAGGCACCGGCAGTGCGCAATTTTCGGACCTGAAGGAGCCGAAATGAGGATTCACTGGTTAAAAATAGTTTAGTAATGGTTAAGCAAGTTTTGTCATGGTGAATAAGGAATGTTAAGATTCAGATTCTTAACCATTACTAAACCATTATTAAACATTACTAAACAATGATTGTGTTATCAGCATCAATTGTTATTCCCATGATTTCATATGGGGACTTGATGGGAGATTCACCCAAGAATGGGGACTTCACCATGGGAATTTGGGATGTGAACATGGGGATTGAAGCATATAGCAACAACAATATGGGGAGAAAGGACATGGTCAAATGGTTCTGTGGGATTCAGCCAATGCCATTACAAATGGGCTATACCATGGTAGCGGGTGAAATCCATGACACAATCCCAACCATTATGTCGAACGTTACTTTTCCCAATCTCCCTCCAGCTCAAGGGTACGCGTCTCCCTCAACTGGTGTTGCTTCAGATTGACCATAGTTATACGGTTGGGGTTATATATATGTAATCATATGTATAGACTGCCAGTCTTCTTTTTTTATCTCATATGGTGCCAGAATCAATCAATGATTTGATTTGTTGGAACTGCAAAGGCTGCATCGGAAAATCCATCGGTCCCGTACAGTACAGATTCACCATTCCCTGATTGCTGGCTCAGTGCCACGTAGCTGGCTCAGTGCCACGTAGCTGGCTCAATGCCTCGTAGCTGGCTCAATTTTTTCGAACGAAAAAAAAAAAACGCAAAAAAATTGAGCCAGCTACATGCCCTTGAGCCAGCTCGGTATGCCGTCATCATCCCGGCCAATACATATTATGTATTCGTTTTTTAGCTTTCACATTAGTTCGCCAGCTCAACGTGACGTAGCTGGCTCAATTTTTTCGAGTTCCCCACCTGCCAGGTGAGGGTTGTTAGATTTTATCAGAGCTGTTCTCCGCCTCCGCCTCCTCCGCCTCCACCTCCGCCTCCTCCGCCTCCTCACCCGCCGCCTCCTCCTCGCAGTCCAGATCCCAGTGGGCACTGCCGGACCTCAACCGCGACTTCCAGATCGCAGTGGGCACTGCCGGACCTCAACCGCGACTTCCGGATCGCAGTGGGCACTGCCGGACCTCAACGGGAAGAATGTCAGAAAAGATGTCAGATAGAATGTCAGAAGATATGCCAGATAGAATGCCAGAAAGAATGTCAGAAGATATGCCAGACAGAATGTCAGAAGATATGCCAGAAAGAATGTCAGAAGATATGCCAGATAGAATGTCAGAAGATATGCCAGATAAAATGCCATGAGATATGCCAGATAGAATGCCAGAAGGTATGCCAGATAAAGTGCCAGAATGCTTGCCAGATAGAACGCCAGAAGATTTGCCAGATAGAATGCCAGAAGATATGCCAGAACATATGCCAGAAGATATGCCAGGTAGAATGCCAGAAGATATGCCAGATAGAATGCCAGATAGAATGCCAGATAGAATGCCAGAAGATATGTCAGATAGAATGCCAGAAGATATGCCAGATAGAATGCCAGATAGAATGCCAGAAGATATGTCAGATAGAATGCCAGAAGATATGCCAGATAGAATGCCACAACATATGCCAGATAGAATGCCACAGCATATGCCAGATAGAATGCCAAATAGAATGTCAGAAGATATGTCAAATAGAATGCCAGAAGATTTGCCAGTAAGAAAATGTATAAATGTCATGGTGGGGATCACACGAAGTAAAGTAATTTTTTTCCGTGTTTTTTCGGTCAAAACAATTGAGCCAGCTTGATGCCATCGAGCTAGAGCGATGTGTTTGAGCTAGCGCATTGTTGCTGAGGTAGCTCGTTCCACTTGAGCGAGGCCGCAAATTTTTCCCAATGCTCAGTCCCAAATTATTCGTTTAATAGAGATGGTCCCCCTGTTGCAGCCCAGAAATTTAGGAGCCACGTTTTGGGACAAATCTGCTTAGACAGTGGCACAGCATTAAAGTCAAGCACATGACCCCTTCTGAAATTGAGCCAGCTACATGTTTTGAGCTAACTCGAAAATGAGGAAATTTGTGGATTGTTACATTCAATTATGGCATGTCGGGGATGGTTTGGAATCAGGTTTACTACCACGCTTACCATATTTACAGCAACCCCCAAAACGATGGAAAAGTAAAATTCCAATCCCAAGACAACATGGAAGCTTTTCGATCGTTTGGGGGGTCACAATCACCGAATAGGGATTTAGACAAGACGCATTGGAATAAAAATCACAGAAGCGACTGGATTGAAATCATGAGTGCTTATTCATTTTAGGCATTCACTAAAGATTATTCTAGATGTACATCGATTTTCCAACATACGGATCAGAAACGGTGGCAGCCCCAACAGAAAGGTAAATTTGTTTATATAAGAGATATTATATGTATATATACGTACATATATATACATATACATACATACATACATACATTGTATATATGATAAAGTGATAACTAACCTATAGATGATAAACCATGATATTTTGGGCGCCTTATTTTCCGACATACCCACAGATGGGTTAGCTACGGGACCAAATGAGGGGACGAACATCCGCAACTATCAGCAGTTTTGCCGCGATCAGCGGAACGGAGTTTTTGACCCAAAACCATATCAGTTGCCATCCTGTTATATGGTGATTTGGGATCCAACCATCCGACTACTGTAATATATTTGTCATGTTTATTTGGGCAATCTAACTAACTAATAACTATACGTAGATATTGTATCTCTAACGTAGAAACGTAGATATTGTATCTCTTAATAAAGCTCTTTGCCAAAATCCTTGGCCAACTTTTAGTTAACTATGTGCCATCACTGTCCGAATTGGGATGTCGGGTGAAACGCTTGAAGTTCCGAGTTCCGTTAGCCCTGATTGATGGTCTGGGACGCGGATTTGTACCAGTCTGGTAATCATAGCCATGGAAAATCACAATTTTTAATAGGTAAATTATGGTAAGTGATCGAACCAAAGGAACCATTTATACCATAGCAAACTGTAAGAAATTCCCGGAAGGTACCACACTAGTAACTTAAGGTCTATAGATCATCCAATATTGCCATATATATTTTTACGTACATATTTAAAAACTATATACTTACCGGGTTCCCGGTATGTGTATATATATATATATATTGTAAGGTCCATATATAAATACCATATTCATACAATTTCCTGATGTTTTGGGCTCCCATCTCTTTGTGGAACAAGCACCTTTGCTGTCCAAGTGACACAGGAATTGGTCATGTTTACATGTTTAAGGCCCTTTTGGAACCAGAGATTCTGTTCATTTACAAAAAGTCACCAATATGAATATATTAATCATTAAAGAAAGACCCATGGCCCATACCCATATTTGGTTTAAACCTGCTTGGTTCCAATATACTCCAATGGGTAAACATGGTATCCCTACCCCCAATGGGGAGATCGCTGCTTAGTCCCTATGGCACTTGGACGCCGGAGGACAAGACTGAGCTTAAAAACCCAAAGTCGAAAAAACAATTGGCACCTTGGCGAAGCTGAGGATGTCCATCGATTCTGATACTGTTGGTTGTTGATTAGTGTAGGGTTCCCCTCCTTCTCCCCCTAAACAATGGCTAGGGTGTTAAACATTTGAGGGTACCAAGTCTAGGGAACCAAGGATCATGAACTTAGCAGATACGGCTTTGGTACCTGAGCATTTTGAGGAAAACTTATGAAACCTCCAAATTCTGAAGGCTTGGGGAAAATTACTACCCTAATTAAGCACAGGACATTTGGTGGTATACCACATTTTCAAACAAATTCATCTATGATATAGTAACCCCCAAATCGAGATAGTACAGTCATTTGCCACTATTTTGTTTGACGGTTTGATGTTGTTATTTTGCTGAGGGTTGCTGTAATTTGCTTTTAAGTAGCAACAAATTGGGATTAAACCAACAAAAACTGGCGGTTTATTTATGGATCTGGGTAAATGATAGAAACCTCCCTGGCCGACCGTACCCTGTTGATGATACCCAACAAAAAATTGCTCATGTTCATCATACCCTAACCTTCCATTTACCTCTGAGATAGGTAGTCAGGTTTCGGGTTTGGCTTATAATTTTGGGTTTGGTTGCCTAACAGATTTGCCAAGAGGGATATGAAAACAATGATGTTCCGCGGATATGAAATCTTATTTGATCAGTTGACCTCTTTTGCATATTATATAGTACTGGAATATGATATGGATCGAGCCGTACACGGCTCGATGTGTAAGTCTTGGGTGGATTTCCAAGGTGTCCTACGATTTTTTGTTGTTTGCTGGTGATCATCAAACCACCAAGAACGATTAATGGTCAAGTCGAAATTAAAGATAATACAGCAGTACCAGCATTTGTCACCATTTATATAGTTTTTTTTGATAGGGGGTTGGAAGAAGCTTGGGACCACTTGTTATTATGTTGTGATTATGTTGAAATTGTGGCGAACGACATGTCTGATAAATAAAAACATGCCTTTGTATAACTGATGATCCATTTGAAATTATGTTTCAGAGTTCGGAAAGTTCTCAGATTCAGTGGCCCAACGGCCTTTTTTTTTAATGCCAACTGGGCTTCAGATGTTCTCACAAGGAGGTTCAATCAGATTTTGAGGGAATTTTCAGGGTCTTTCTGGACGCTCAGAGGGTATTTGGCGAGGGGACGTTTGGACATGATCAAGCTATGGATTTTGAGGTGCTCTCATTTTTTCGAGTGGGCAAAAGTATGAAGTACCCTGACCCTCAGTTGACCATAACGCGTGGTAAATGTCAATGTACTCCTGTATTTTTTTTGGTAGATACCCTCTGGTTATTTAACATAGCCATGGAAAATGCCAATGTATAGATGATTTTCCCATTAAAACCTCCAGTTATAGGGGATTTTCCATGGCTATGTTAAATAACCAGATGGTACCATCTTTTTGAGGGTCAAGCCGAAGCATCAGATGTTTTTTTTTGCAGAGTCACGACCTGTTCCTAATAGCACTGCTTTGTCATCACACAATGGTGGAACATATTCAGCAAGTACCAACAAACAAAACATCAAAGATGGTACTTACTTAATAATATGGTTGACTAACTGATGGTACTGACAATAGGTACTTCCTGACAATATGGTACCAACTTACTTATTCACCAGTATGGTATGTCATTAGGTACTTACTGACAATATGGTCCCCATCAGCTTGACATGAAATAACTTACTCGTGCAAAAAAAACATACGGAATGGGGGAATGATTAAAAAACCATGGTCCATAACTATTTTCACAATCATCCCAGCAACCCCCACTCCCTACGTTTAGCACCAGTAAGATAAAGTCATGCGTCATTATTAAATTAATCATTATCGTCATTCTAATGTGAGGCCACCGAGATAGCGTTCAGTTGGTTTATAACTCCAATTTCACTCTGGTTTATGGTACGCAAATAACGAACTAGTATTCCTGGGGCGAATCTAAACCAACGTTCACATCACAACGGGGGGCCTCACTAATTGTACTCCCCAGAAGGTCACTCGGATTTTTCCGCACCGCTCCGGACGAAACATCCTCCGATGACGAGGTGTCAAAGATGCAGAAAAAGCTCTCGAAGGAGAAGGCGAAGCATACGCTGCACCTCAGGCGGATTTTGGGCGAAGGTTTTTCGCCACGGGAATTTTTGTTGGTGCCCAAATCTTTGGTGGTTTAACGGTTAAACATGATGTGACTTTTTGTATATTGTTGTATATGTTTGTCGGATTCAGAAAGTGATACCCTCTGGGAAACGTTTACATAAGTATGGAAAATCACCATTGTCAATGGGAAAACTCACTATAAATGGCAATTTTCAATAGCTATTTTGACAACCAGAGGGTACCTTTCGTGCAAAAAGTCGTTTCCCCTGATTGCTCGCAGAACTTAAGATCCATCAGCCAGCTTGTCCCCAATGGCTTGCTGCAAGAAAAAGTATTTAGGGCCAGTTTTCCCATTGCTTGTTGCCTTGTTAACAGGTTACAAGATGTAACACGAGGTTCTAAGCTTATGAACATGTTACCAGCAAACTCGTTGTTGAATTCTGATATTGCATTGTTTGAAAATCATCTTTATCACAATATTGCTATTTTGAAATCCCAATATTTGAAATTATGATATTTTAAAATAAGCTTTATCCCAAAGTTGCCATTTTCAAATCATTATATTATCTGTTTTGAAATCGTCATATCACGAAAGGTAGCTCCAGAGGGGCTACCTTGAGTTTTACTTTACGAAGTAAAGGGGAGGGCGGCCAGCCCCGTTACCTGATTCTTCAGGAGATTGCTAGTTATTTTAGTACCCCCCTCCCCCCCCCCTCCACACCTCCCACGCACCCTAAGAGCAGACTCAAAATACTGTAATTTACAGTATTTTTGTTCTTTTCGGATCAAGAAACCACATTTTGTTACATGGTGAAACCTCCGTAAATACCAGTGTTTTTGCTAGGTGCTGGCCAAAAAACACTGTAAATACCGTGCTTTTTACTACCAGAGGCAAAAAACATCGTAAATACCGTGGTTTTGGGCTTCCGACCCGCCAAAAACATTGGTATTTACGGTGTTTTTTGCTCCGAGCGATGCAAAAACACGCGAAAACACCACCGATTTGACGATTTTCGGCCACTACGGAACCGAGCAAAAACGCTGCAGGGGTAACACCAACACCGACAAGAACAACAACAGCAACAGCAACAGCAACAACAACAACAACGACGACAACAACAACAACAACAACAACACCAACACACAACGCACAACGCACAAAGCACAACGCACAACGCACAACGCACAACGCACATCACACAACACACAAAACACACAAAACACACACACAACACACACAACACACACAACACACACACACAACACACGCAACACACAACAACACAACAACACAACAACAACACACAACAACACACAACAACACACAACAACACACACACACACAACAACACAAACAATACACAACAACACACCACAACACACGCAACACACACAACACACACACACAACACACACAACACACACAACACACACAACACACACACAATACACACACACACAACACACACAACACACACAACACACACACACAACACACAACAACACATAACAACACACCACAACGCACAACAACACACCACAACACACAACAACACACAACAACCACAACAACCACAACAACCACAACACCCACAACAACCACAACAACTACAACAACAACGAATGACAACAATAACGACAACAACACACAACAACACACAACAAAACACAACAACACACAACAACAAACAACAACACACAACAACACACAACAACACACAACAACACACAACAACACACAACAAAACACAACAACACACAACAACAAACAACAACACACAACAACACACAACAACACACAACAACACACAACAACACACACACACAACAACAACACACAACAACACACCACAACACACAACAACACACAACAACACACGCAACACACAACAACACAACAACACAACAACACACAACAACACACAACAACACACAACAACACACAACAACACACAACAACACACAACAACAACAACAACAACAACAACAACAACAACAACAACAACAACAACATCAACAACAACAACAAGAACAACAACAACAACACCATCAGCAGCAGCAGCAACAACAACAACAACAGCAACAACAACAACACCATCAGCAGCAGCAGCAACAACAACAACAGCAACAACAACAACAACAACAACACGAACACAAACAATACTAACACCAACACCAATACCAACAACACCAACAACACCAACACCACCAGCACCACCAACACCACCAACACCACAACCGCCACCAACCCCAACCACATCGCCGAAGCCTTTCAGTCGCTTTTACCAGACAACCCTTCATATTTTTGGAAAGAAAATGGCCGCGTCGCTTTTACCAGACTCCATTTTATGTTTTTTTCCCTGCCCTCTCCCCTTCATTTTTTCTTCGGTTCCTTTCTTGCTTACCTACCTTTCGTGTTCCCCCTCTCAAGTTGCCTTTCTTGAACCCGTGATATTGCCTTATTTTAAAAAGCAATATTGCCTTATTTGGATGCATTAGGGTCATTAGAGATGAGGTTGTCTTATTTGTATCCTAATAGGGCCTTCTTATTAGCAGCTAATAGCAGCTATTAGCAGCTATTAGTACCTATTAGAAACTATTTGAAAATCATAGCTAAATCCTACACTGGGGGGGTGGTTCGACTGGGGGGTGGTTGGAGCATCCATGAAATAATTACTTATGTTTGTCGTTTTTCTTTTTTTTTAAATACTCTTTTGTGGTGTCATTTGTCATTTGTTTGTATTTTTTGTTATGTTGTGGTTTTGTTTGTCAGAGTCATTTGTGTTGTCATCTTCTTGTCATGTTTTTGTGTTTTTGTTTGTCTTGTTCTTGTTAAATTTTCTTGTCGTTTTCTCATCCGATGATGAGGGTGGCTGGATCCAAAGCCAAGCTGGAAAGTCCAAAAGCGTCATGGATTGCCAGCACGAGTCATTTTGTTTGTCATTTTTTTGTATTTGTTTGACGTTTTTTGTCAGGTTTTTGTCGTTTGTTTGACATTTTTTTTGTATGTGTTTTGCTTGATTGAATCTAAGAAGGCCTGTGGGAGCCCTCACAGGCACACCCCTGTAAACCACCACAAATGAAAAAATCAAAAAACCAAAAAACAAAAAAAACATTAAAACAATAAAACAATATAAAACAATACAAAACAATAAATCTAAAACAATATCAATAAAATACATTTAATAATATAATGTTTTTATAAAATATCTTGGATTTTTCCAAGATATTTTTGTTCATACAAGAAATGCATTGGTGAACATACATATGTTTGCTGGATCTTTGGGTCATCTGTAGCTAGTTGGGAGTACCAGATCAAAAATGGCCATAGCTTGGAAGTACAGAATCATGGCACAAGTGCGGACATATTCAGGACACATACAAGGAGAAAGATGTATCCACCAGGGCAGGGCAAAACAAAACTAATACCAACTTGATTGCGCACAGCGCCAGTTGATGCTGACATGACCAGTGCTTGGTTGTGCCCAAGAGTTGCCGGCAGCTGTTTGGCTTAATCTTTTGTGTTGTCAGCATGGGCAATGGCGGAGTCGAGTCTGGATGATGTTTTAAATATCATCGAAGATACACATCCCAACGAAGAGACATGTTCAGAGCCGAGGCCAAGTAATAGAGCTACTGTGCGGCAGAGGTTTGGGGCAGGTCTTCGACCGGGTTTGCTAAGACACGCCAAACAGAAGCGAACCAGAAAGTAAAGGTTGAAGAAAAAACAAAGCTTGGTGGACCAACAGGCAAATGAATACAATGCCAGTGGCCGTGCTAGAGGGGCCGACCATGCGTTTCCAGCTTCAGCAAATGACTTTGAGCGAAAAACAGAGAAAGGCAAAGGTAAATGGAACCGGTGGACCGCGCCCGCTGTTTTGCGTGCTGGATTCAGCTCAGAGTCAGCAACTTCCAGACAAATCGCCAGCAGCATTGAAGGAGGTGGGCCAAAGCATGCTGGAAGGTGTCGGTTTGTCACTGCCTCAACCATCTTGGAAGCGCAAAATCATGGGATGGCTTTAGTTCAGCAAACTGGGTCCCAGGGTAGCCTTGATTTTTGGATTCGGAGCCTCATGTTTGATGAGTCTACGTTTTCATTGAGCCTTCAGCACGAAGCGGCAACTGCCACCTCGGTCTTGTGTTCACATGGGCATTGGACCTATGGCTTTACTCCTTGCTATTATAATTGTTTGTTTTTTTCACATCAAACGTCCAGGAGCACGGGGATGCAGAGGAGGTCTCGGACCCTGTGCCCTTGACAGAAGCGAAGAACTCGTTCACCGCTTGCCCACCTGGAGGTTGCACTGGGCATCTTTCTCGTGAACAGCTGGCCTTGCACAGCAAGTTGCATGCAGACTTGTGCGTTCTGGTGAAAAAACATGATCCTCCTCGCAATAGGCCTGCGGCCGACCCTTTGGTCATCATGTGGGAATCTGCAAGTCTGGCAAAGACTGTGTCCGTGCTGCTTGCCTTCCGGACCATGGACTCTCCAATGGACATGTTGTTCTTGCGCTTGGGCCCCAATGTTGGTTTGATAGAGGAGCCTCCTTTCAGTTTGCGTGTGCAATATTATGCAGATCGCTTGGATGCAGCGCCTCTGCACGACAATGATTTGGCCATTTGTGCTCAGCTTGCCCTCGAGGCGGGTGATTGGGTCATCCACCGCTTGGAGCTTGCAGGCATTGATGATGATCCGTCAGAGTTTCGCATTGCCCGCAAAATTTCTTATGACGCAGAGCACTTGCAAGAGGAAGCCCGCCAACAGAAGGAAAACGACTTGGCCATGCGGGCTTTCCGCTTGATGGAACGACTCAAAAGTGGTCAAAAAAGACAAAGGCGGCCCCGGGGCCCTCAGCCCAGCACAAAGAAAGCGCGACAAACTGCCATGCCTTGCGATGAGCAAGGAGAACTTTCGCCTTCCCGTTTGTCTGAGGAGAGCTGGTCTGAAGACAGTGAATGGGCTGGCAGTGCCGGTGAAGAGGATGCCCCTTGATTTGAATCTGGGCGCAGAGAAACTTGACATTTGCGGCTCAGACTCTGCCGCTGACGTTTCGGCCGTTGGTCGAGGCTTGCCAAGTTCCGAGCTTGGTTTCAAGGGAAGCTCCACGGAGTCGTCTGCAGGCATTGCTGTTGACGCGGCCTCTGGCCGGGCTGTCCAGTCCGCGAAGTCGAAGGGAGTGGTACAAAAGCGAGGGGTTCGTTGGGGACCCTTCTTGCTGTCGCCCATTGTGCCGCAAGGAGGACAAACCGGGTGGGGAGCCATTTGCGGCTTGCACCACAACAGAGGAGATGGAAGTGGCTCGAGGTGCAAGAAAGCTTTGAGCATGGGCCGGTTGAGCCACAGCGCTTTCATATTACGATTGAAACGGTGGCTTCTAGCCGGGCTCAATGATGCAGAGCTTTCTGTCCAGAACGCTCGGTCAGATCATGTGGCCATGGGAGGACCTGGCTTACAAGCTTTTGCCGAAGAAGGCCCCTCAGAAGAAGAGATGGACGAGAAAATTCGACAATATACTGCCTCAAGTCTTTGAGTCCTTTGAAGTGACTTTCCGCTTTATAGTTTCTGACGTTGTTTAAGTTTTGCTTGTGGTTGTGACCTGGCTTTCGAAATATATTCGCGATAGATCTTTGGTAGCGAGCGGTGGCAGTATGTTCAAGTACGATGGACCATTGAGATCTACATTCATATCACCCAGGTTTCTTTCCAATCCTTGACCTCTTCGACAGTACAGACACAGCGTCTTCTTCTTATCCTTTTGCAGCAATCAAACAAGTAGTGGTGATCATGTTGGTTTGGATTTTGGTTTGCGGGGAGGTTTTGCCAAAGGCAACCCAAAGTAGTATCATTATCAGATATTTTGATATTTTATTGTTTTTCTAAAAACAATTTAAAATTTCAAAACGATTAAGAAAAACAAAGAATTTTTCATTTTTGAAAATCATACACTTATCTTCCGTTTTCATTCACTTATCTCCTGTTTTCATACACTTAACTTGTGGTTAAGTGCGAGATTCCGGTTTTTCAAAAAAGTTTGAAAATTCAAAAAAAATAAAAATATATCAAAAAAGATGAAAATAGCTTTCGCCAAAAAAAATGTAGATTTACAATTCTGTTCCAGCCTAATCCTCCGAGGTGATTGGATTGGTTTTAGCCCATTGCCAGAGCTGACTAGAGACAGAGCAGACAAGTTTCACCTGAACAGTGCGCGACAGGCACTCTCGTGCAGCAAAACCTTGCAGTTGTCAGCTGCTGCTTGAAGTTAGCAGTTCGAACTTGGTTCTGTGCAGGGGAAGCCTGAAGCTCCTGAGTTGCCACCTGGTTGTCTCGACTCCTCAGGCTTGTCTGCCAGAGGTCGTCCTTCCTGCTTAGGCTCAAGCTGTGTGAGTTGTAGTTGTTTTCCTTTCGCTTTTGCAACCCAAAGGGTTGGCAGGTCCGTGCCGAATGGCCAGTCTTCCAGGGTCAGACTTTGGAGGTCTGTCTGAAGGCGGTTTTGATGACAAGGGTTCAGAGGCATCTGGACCGGTAGCAGAGCAGATCAGTTTTGATCTGAGCAAGCCTTGTACCTGCGCTTTGTGCCAGAAGACCAGTGTCTCAGAAAGCCCCCTGACAAGCAGCCACCTGCATGACAAGCATGGCAGCCGTAGGCCATGGAGTTCCTACAGGAAAGTCTTTGACAAGGCCTCTGGTGTCACGTACCGGGTTCCCCAGTCCAAGTTGTGTAGTTTGTGCCGGAATGTCTGGAAGCTCTTAGGCTTTTCCCACAAGTACGGAAACATAGCCAAATATGTGAAGATGATCGCAGAGAAGGGAGTTGACCATGCCGTTTTCCTGGCCAGTCTGGACGAATGGATCAAGAAGCACAATGCAAACCCAAACAAGCACAGGCTCCGCAATGCAGATGATAAGGACTCTGTCCGGGACGCAAAAGAGAAACTGCTGACCAAGGACGAGCACGGCTGCGAGTTTGAAGCCCCTGCTAGCCATGCTGCTGCCAGTCCATGTTTGTTCGTGGACATTTGTGAATTGGGAGGCGATGTGGCGGATTGCGCCGCGCATGGGCAGAAGTGTCCGGTGCCACAAGTAGACCTCCTGGTTTTAGGGACATCTTGCAAAGATATGAGCCGAGCAAAACCCTGCCAGCACAAGGATTCCGCAGTGCTGTCTCAGCAGGTCAGTCGGGGAGGCTCCGCACAGACATTCCAAGGAATGCTGTCCTGTTTGCAGAGCAAATGCCCACCCTTAGTGCTCTTCGAGAATGTAGACGCCATGGACGACAGCAAGGGCACGGACATGAACAACATGGACATCTTTTTGGCCGAGACTTCCGCCCGGGGGTATGAGAGTCAGGTCTGCATGACAGATGCAGCCGAGTTTGGATGTAGCACCCGCCGGAGGAGAATTTATGTTCTTCTAGTCCGAACAGCCGTGAACCCGCTTCTGGACTTTACTACCAGGCCTTTGACAGCTGCTTTTGCCACCTTCCGGGCTTTGCTGCTTGGTTGCCTTCGAGGCGGGCCTTGTGTGACCCAGATCCTTTTCCAGGAAAGTTCGGAACCAGTTCAACTGGAACTCGGGTTGCGCTTAGACAAGCGGGCGAAACAAAGGGAGAAGGACGCTGAGAAGAAACAAGGAGCACCCGCTCCCCCTCAGAGTTGGGTCGAGCAGCACATGCAGTTTGCCCAAAATCACCGGGTGCGTTGGGGGCAAGCTGTCCCAGCAAAATTGGCCGCCAATCAGTGGTACCAGACTCCAGACTTTGGGTGACCGTGAGCAAGACGCTTTGTCTTTGCTGCAGCAATGCACCCCGTACATTGTGTTCCGAGATTTGTCTCAGTCAATCGTGCGAGGAATTTCGAACACCTGGAGACAAGATTCCAGCAAGCATGTCATGAGCACAGTGCTTCCAAGGATGGTTCTTTGGTGTGAGGCACAGAATCGCCTAGTCCTTGGGCGAGAGGCTTTGCTCATGCAAGGCTTTCCAGTCCAACCTTTCTTGCAAATTTTGGCAGCGCGCATGGAGACCATGCCTTTGGCGCAGCAATGGCATCCTTCTGAAGCGCTCATGATGGACCTGGCAGGCAACGCCATGGCATTGCCAGTAGTCCTTGCTATGGTACAATGTGCGCTGGCTGCTTTAAATTGGAAAGATCGGACTCTATCCGGGCAAAGCAGCAGTTCAGTTGGCTTTGTCACAGACCGAGGACTCGTGTTGGAATGTTTGTTGACTGTTGACTGTTGATAGCGTGGCCAATGCGGTCTTGATATTCCTTCTCTTCCTCCTTTGTTTTCTCGCCTCCTTGCTTTTAAGACTTAGATTTTGTGAGCCGTGAGTTTGGCGTCCCTCGTTCGTGTATTTAAGTGGGTTCATGGCAATTAGGCGGTGGCTGTTTTTGTGCCCATACATTGTGCAGGAGATGGCCCTTGCCCTTGGGGCGATGGAAGCTTTGGATTCAACTGCTCCCATGGAAAGCAAGCCTCAGGCCGAGATCGCGATGAGTGCTCTGGATGAGCGAATCTACAAGAGAGCTAGAAAAGGCAAGCAGAGACGCTTTCAAAGCGGGCAGTTTGATGATGAGCGGCAAGGTCTTCAAAGCAGCCGGTAGTTCTTTTTTCAAATCATGTAGCAGCCAGAGCAAGGACTCTTTGCGCATGGCTCTGCTGAGGAAAAAGACTAAAACTGTCAGCCTTTGCCTTTGCAGCTGTGTTGGGACAGGATGATATAAGCAAAATTCCAACTGCAGCGAAACTTAATTCAACAAAAATTGGCAGAAAAGCACAAAAAATATCAAACATTTTCCAAAAAATGTTTCTGTTTTGTTTTTTTTTAAGCTTCATTTTTTTCTTTTTATTTGGTTTTATTTTGTTTTTTCTTATTTTTGTTTTTGTGAGTTCATTGTTTGTATACTCCTTTACTGAAAAGATCACAGCCCTTCTAAACCCAACCAATGTTTTGCATTTCCCAGACTGTGAATCATTTTTACAGCATTTTGTTTGCATCTCCCGAAGCAGGAGTTGTTTTTTTTCCAGCATCCTCGTCAGCCCCGCCTACCCCGTCACTCTATCACGAGCTGAAACAAATGACAAAGCAAATGACGAACACGCAAAATGACAAATAAATGACAACAAAATGACAACAAAATGACACAATCATTGTTTTAGATTTTCCAATGTTTGCAGGCCCAAGATTTTCCTAAGCAGTTCTTCTTTATTCCTTGGTGCTTTCATGCCTTGGGATGATCCCCGGCAAGAGCCCGAGGAACTTCAGGCACGAGAGTCATAGAAGCTGCAAACATTTCGTGACCCGTGGCAACTTGGACCGGGCACGGCTTCAACTGCATCAATTTCATGGGATGAATTCAGTTAGGCTGATTTTGTTGATTGGTTTTAGCGATTGGGAAGCCAATACAGGTATGATGGTTATGTAAAATCATGTTTGAGCAGGTAAATCATCTACAAATGGACCCTGTTCCATAGCTCAGCTATGTCAGAATACCAGAGGATTGTTGATGGGATCAAGCTGTATCACTGGCTTTGTTTCAAAAGGGATGCAGTCGTACCTGGCAATCGCATTTTTTGGAGACTCCAAATATCTTTATTGGTTTATTGTACATAATATATATATATATAGCATTATATAGCTGGTTATTGGTTTGGAACATTTTTTCGGTTTCCATATTAATTGGGAATAGTAACCCCAACTGACTAATACTTTTCAGAGGGGTTGAAACCACCACCCAGTATATATATATATATACATATTATATATATCATATAGTCTATAGCCCGTTCCATCTCCATTCAGTACCGAGTATGTCACAATACATCCGCATGTTTACCTCTAGTGTATAATTACCCATTTTCAGTCACACCCAAATATTGAACCCATATTGTATATATATATATATATGCAGGCATACATGTATAGCAGAATTTCATGAACTATCCCAGCTATATGCATATCATATCCCCAGCATATGTATATATATATATATATCACATGTATATTCCCAAAACCATTGGTTTATCATGTTGGTGGTTATATATATGGGCCCCAACAGAATTTTGGAAATGGAAAAAAGGTTTTACATGGGCAAGCAAACAACTGCGGCGCGCCGGGGCCGTATTTTTCCATAATTCTGTTTTACTGATAAAAATGCACACCTCAAAAATCGGTAATACCTTGTATACCGAACCTTTGTGGAAGGGGCGTGACGTGCTGCAGTTAAATTTCCATATATATTTTTTCCATGTGAGGGTGCTTCATGGCATACGACCATTTCCATAATTATTCGTTTCCTGAAAGGGGTGACAACTTCTCTATTGACATGTTTCCATAATTCTTTTGGCCATGGCTACAGTGCATGATTATGGCTACAGTAGCATCAGTGGGAGATCAAAATAGACATGTGGAGGAATAATTTCACATGTACCCCTTAGCACTTTCCTCAGTTTGTTGCCTTGTAGGCCCAACCCTGAGCACTGAAAACCCTGAATTCTCACAGGGGATGGGCGACTGCCGCAAGAATTTTCTCCCCATAATCCCGCAGGATCTAGTTATACATGTCATATCTATTCCATCTATATATCCACCTATCCATCTATCCACCTATCAACCTATCCATCTATCCATCTATCTACAGTCACCGACAGAATTATGGAAATGAAAACAGGGACGCGCGCCGCAAGTAATCGAAACGGTTAATTTAAATTTAATTCCAAGATCATGCAAATACGCTGTAAACTAGGTGGTTTGAAGGATCAGGGTCCGAGAGCTGAATCTAGATTTAGTCCCAAGATCATGCAAATAAACTGTAAACAAGGTGGTTTAGAGATGTTTGGAGGATCAGGATCCCAAAACTGAATCTGGATTTAGTCCCAAAATCATGCAAATTTCCTGTAAACCAGGTAGTTTGGAGGACCAGGATCCGAAAAGTAAGATTTCCAAAATTAATTTCGCATCGTGGATTGGAGGCTTTTGTAGAAATTTGTATACATTTGTTTCATCCTTTTTTCCCCACCTGCCAGGTGAGGGTTCTTAGATTTTATGTCAGTTGCCTCCTCCTCCTGCCGCCTCCTGCCTCCTGCCTCCTCCTCGTCCTCCTCGTCCAACTGCGACCCGCGATCCACAGTGTTCTCTGCCGGACCTCAACCACGACCATCCACGCCCAGTGTTCTCTGTCGGACCTCAACCACGACCATCCACGCCCAGTGTTCCCTGCCGGACCTCAACCACGACCATCCACGCCCAGTGTTCCCTGCCGGACCTCAACCACGATCATCCCCGCCCAGTGTTCCTGCCGGACCTCAACCACGACCATCCACGCCCAGTGTTCCCTGCCGGACCTCAACCGCGAGTATCCACGCCAAGTGTTCCCTGCAGCATGCCGGACCTCAACCACGACCATACACGCCCAGTGTTCCCTGCCGGAATTCAACCGCGAGTATCCACGCCAAAAGATATGCCACATAGAGGCCAGAAGGATGCCAGATAGAATGTTGAAGATATGGCCAGATAGAATGCACAGAAGGTAGCAGATTCGAATGTCAGATTAGATGCCCGAAGATATGCCAGATACACGTGCCAGAATTGTTTTGCAGATAAATGACCAAGCAGATTCTGCAGATAATATGCCAGAAGATATGTATGCTAGATAGAAATGCCAGATGGAATGCCAGAAGATTTGCCAGATAATATGAAGAAGGATATTGCCAGATTAGGGAATGCCAGAGGATGCCAAACGATATGCCCAGAACATAGGCCAGAAGATATGCCAGGAAGATATTGCCAGAACATCTGCCAGAAGATATGCCAGAACATTGCCAGAAGATATGCCAGGTAGAATGCCAGAAGATTATTGCCCAGATCGAATGCCAGAAAATATGTCAGATAGAATGCCAGAAGATTTGCCAGCAACAAAATGTATAAATGTCATGGTGGGGATCACACGAAGTAAAGTAATTTTTGAAGGATCAAGATCCGAAAACTGAATCTAGATTTAGTCCCAAGATCATGCAAATACGCTGTAAAGCAACTGGTTTGGAGGATCAGGGTCCAAAAGCTGAATCTAGATTTAGTCCCAAGATCATGCAAATAAACTGTAAACAAGGTGTTTGGAAGATCAGGATCCCAAAACTGAATCTGGATTTAGTCCCAAAATCATGCAAATTTGCTGTAAACCAGGTGGTTTGGAGGATAAGGGTCCCAAAACTGAATCTGGATTTTGTCCCAAAATCATGCAAAAACATTCAAAACTAGGTAGTTTGGAGGATCAGGATCCGAAAAGTAAGATTTCCAAAATTAAGTTTGCATCGTGGATTAGAGGCTTTTGTAGAAATTTGTATACATTTGTTTCATCCTTTTTTTTGAAGGATCAAGATCCGAAAACTGAATCTAGATTTACTGTAGTCCCAAGATCATGCAAATACGCTGCAAAGCAACTGGTTTGGAGGATCAGGGTCCGAAAGCTGAATCTAGATTTAGTCCCAAGATCATGCAAATAAACTGTAAACAAGGTGGTTTAGAGATGTTTGGAGGATCAGGATCCCAAAACTGAATCTGGATTTAGTCCCAAAATCATGCAAATTTGCTGTAAACCAGGTGGTTTGGAGGATAAGGGTCCCAAAACTGAATCTGGATTTTGTCCCAAAATCATGCAAATACGCTGTAAACCAGGTAGTTTGGAGGACCAGGATCCGAAAAGTAAGATTTCCAAAATTAATTTCGCATCGTGGATTGGAGGCTTTTGTAGACATTTGTATACATTTGTTTCATCCTTTTTTCCCCACCTGCCAGGTGAGGGTTGTTAGATTTTATGTCAGTTGCCTCCTCCTCCTGCCGCCTCCTGCCTCCTGCCTCCTCCTCGTCCTCCTCGTCGTCCTCCTCCTCGTCGTCCTCCTCGTCGTCCTCCTCGTCCTCCTCGTCCTCCTCGTCCAACTGCGACCCGCGATCCACAGTGTTCTCTGCCGGACCTCAACCACGACCATCCACGTCAGTGTGCCCTGCCGGACCTCAACCATGACCATCCACGCCCAGTGTTCCCTGCCGGACCTCAACCACGACCATCCACGCCCAGTGTTCCCGCCGGACCTCAACCACGACCATCCACGTCAGTGTGCCCTGCCGGACCTCAACCATGACCATCCACGCCCAGTGTTCCCTGCCGGACCTCAACCACGACCATCCACGCCCAGTGTTCCCTGCCGGACCTCAACCGCGAGTATCCACGCCAAAAGATATGCCACATAGAGTGCCAGAAGATATGCCAGATAGAATGTTAGAAGATATGCCAGATAAAATGCCAGAAGGTATGCCAGATAGAATGCCAGATAGAATGTCAGCTAGAATGCCAGAAGATATGCCAGATAAAGTGCCAGAATGTTTGCCAGATAGAATGCCAGCAGATTTGCCAGATAATATGCCAGAAGATATGCTAGATAGAATGCCAGATGGAATGCCAGAAGATATGCCAGAACATATGCCAGAAGATATGCCAGAAGATATGCCAGAACATCTGCCAGAAGATATGCCAGAACATCTGCCAGAAGATATGCCAGAACATCTGCCAGAAGATATGCCAGGTAGAATGCCAGAAGATATGCCAGATAGAATGCCAGATCGAATGCCAGAAAATATGTCAGATAGAATGCCAGAAGATTTGCCAGCAACAAAATGTATAAATGTCATGGTGGGGATCACACGAAGTAAAGTAATTTTTGAAGGATCAAGATCCGAAAACTGAATCTAGATTTAGTCCCAAGATCATGCAAATACGCTGTAAAGCAACTGGTTTGGAGGATCAGGGTCCAAAAGCTGAATCTAGATTTAGTCCCAAGATCATGCAAATAAACTGTAAACAAGGTGGTTTAGAGATGTTTGGAGGATCAGGATCCCAAAATTGAATCTGGATTTAGTCCCAAAATCATGCAAATTTGCTGTAAGCCAGGTGGTTTGGAGGATAAGGGTCCCAAAACTGAATCTGGATTTTGTCCCAAAATCATGCAAAAACATTCAAAACTAGGTAGTTTGGAGGATCAGGATCCGATAAGTAAGATTTCCAAAATTAAGTTTGCATCGTGGATTAGAGGCTTTTGTAGACATTTGTATACATGTGTTTCATCCTTTTTTTTGAAGGATCAAGATCCGAAAACTGAATCTAGATTTACTGTAGTCCCAAGATCATGCAAATACGCTGCAAAGCAACTGGTTTGGAGGATCAGGGTCCGGAAGCTGAATCTAGATTTAGTCCCAAGATCATGCAAATAAACTGTAAACAAGGTGGTTTAGAGATGTTTGGAGGATCAGGATCCCAAAATTGAATCTGGATTTAGTCCCAAAATCATGCAAACTTGCTGTGGTTTGGAGGATAAGGGTCCCAAAACTGAATCTGGATTTTGTCCCAAAATCATGCAAATACGCTGTAAAGCAGGTAGTTTGGAGGACCAGGATCCGATAAATAAGATTTCCAAAATTAATTTTGCATCGTGGATTAAAGGCTTTTGTAGACAATTTGTCTCACTTGTTTTTTCTTTTTTAGAGGATCAGGATCTGAAACTTGCTATTTCCAAAATTATTTTTTTGAAAGTCCGTAATGTCGCTAATCTTTTGTCTTGGTTTCGGTCCCCAACCTTTTCCGCTAACTGCGGCGCGCGAACCTTTTTTCATTTCCAAAATTCTGTCGGTGGCTGTATATATATATATACATATATATATATAGATATCCCCACTATGGTTGGATATCCCGATGCTGTAAATCCTCTCAAGATTTTTTCCCAGCAGGTGGTGCCCCCCAATTATAGGTTGCTTTATAAATCCCATTAGCTAGTCCGATATACTATCTGGAACCCCTAGCTATGGTACTAGCCATCTTAGCCACATGGGTTATGAGAAAAATCCCATTACTAGTTGTGAACTAGTACTGCAATATGTTGCTATCCACGGTAAAATGTATATATTACCAGCTAAAGATTCTGTATTTGTTTGGCAGGTATCTAAGATGCACCATAACTATATATATATATATACCATACTACATACCAAAAAAGGGTGTTTTTTGATATACTGTATATAAATATATATATATACATACATATAGTTATGGTGAATTGGGTTATATATATATATATGTATATAGTATCTAAGATTCACCACAACTATATCAGAATATCATACTACATAAACTCTCCCCAATGGTTTTTTTTGAAATTGGCTATGCCCCGCTCGCAATGGCATTTCATTTGGGACCCCCCGACAGCATCGGAGCCCGTTCGATGCTGACTGGGATGGTGGGCTATTGCAAATGGCCCAGTCGAAATAGTGGATTTACCCATTAAAAATGGTGATTTTCAATAGTTATGTAAACGTTTACCAGAGGGTATCATCGCATTTCATCGGATTTAACCTGATTCAACCAAACAAGATGGTGATATAACTTATGGTGCTGTGGTTATAACCAATATTATGGCCATAACTTATGTAAGACGGAGATACGCTTAGTGCTGTTGGATCTATAACCATCAGATTACGATGTTTTGACCAGGGCACTAAGCATATCTCCAATGTTTCTAACAGAGCAAGAGTTGCAATGTTGAGGCCCATTGGACGTCATCATGGGCGTTGTGTTGCTGGTGAATGCTTTTGTGGCTTTTTGACCGGCATCCGCGTGGTAACTGGTGGATTTTGATACCATGAACAAATGCAATTCTGGTTGGTGGTTTGGAACATTTTTTACTTTTCCATATATTGTGAATAATCATCCCAACTGACTAATATTTTTCAGAGGGGTTGAAACCACCAACCAGATATAATTAATATCAATTATTATATATATAATATAATATATATTGTATCAGGGTACCAAACGAGCAGTGTTGAAAAGCCCTGCTGGTTGGTGCTTTCAATCATTTTTTATTTTCCATAATATATTATATGGGATAATCCTTCCCATTGACTTTTATATTTTTCAAGATGGTTAAAACCACCAACCAGAATTTTGCGGTATAAAATTCGATTGTGTGTCAGATGTCACGGGCGAACACGGGAGATTTTACCAAGAGACATCGGGGGATCTAAACATCACAAAAATGTATTGTTAAATCGATGCAAATAATCTTTAACAAAAACATCAACAAACATGTGGATACCACTGGGTTTAGCCATCAAAAATACGGTGTCACCATCAAAAAATGAATTTAGTAATCAAACATACGTTTAAAATCGGGATATAGTGGGGATATCACGGTCTATATATGGTTCATGGAAGGGTATTCCAAGGAGTTTGATGGTGATGTGTTTTTTTCCCTGGCAAAAATGTTCACGCCTTTTTGTGTATAGGCGCCAATATTATAATATGTATATGTATATATATATATATATGTAATTTAGCCATATCTACACAATTTCTTTAGGGTGTTTCTTTGTTTGAATATCACATGTTTGGACATGTTCCGATGCGGTGGCAGAGACCTTTGTGTCACTGTAATTCTGACTGATTAGTTTACCTCCCT